CTCGGATTCTGCAGCCGCAGAGCAGAGCTCGGACCCCTGCGCGGCCACGGCCACCGCTGCTGCTGCTGTCCCCCGGCAGGAGCCTCCTGCCTCCCTCTGGGGGCGGCGGAGCTTTCACAGCCGCTCCCGCAGCATCCTGCTCCCCTCCCCGCCTGCGCATCCCTGCGGCAGCGGCTTCTTCCCAGGGCGCATCGCCCTGCCTGAGCAGTGCCCAGGGAGATGCCCAGAAGCCGGGTGTTCAGCCTGGCCCGCGCTGGCAGCCTCGTCGGGGTGGCGTGGGAGTGGGAAATATCAAAGTGGGGTCCCCACGTTGTCCCCGCAATGCCGCAGGAAAGGGGGTCCCCCCCGCCTGTCACAGAGATGCCCCCCCGAGCCCAAATGTGAGCCTGGATAGCTCAGTTGGGAGAGCATCAGACTTTTAATCTGAGGGTCCAGGGTTCAAGCCCCTGTTCTAGGTGGTGGCTTTATCCTTTAGGATAAAGAAAGGGAACCTGTGGGCAGGAGCATAATCTCCTCCTGATGCTGGGGCCCTGTGCAGGCTGCAGGGTGGTTCCCAGGATACCCCCTCCTTCTTTTCCTATCTCCCCAAGCTGTTCAGAGCTGGCCCCATCCCACCTGAGACCCCCATGGCATCACTCTTCTTCCACTCACACAGTACTCAGATCTTGTTGGATGATGAGGACAGACAAGGGAGCTATTGGGGAGGAGGGTGCACCTGAAAGGAGGGGGAACAGCAGAGCTAGAAGGATGGAAGTCTGGACTGGGTTTGAAACTGGGGGCTCAGGGGTGGCTCCAGGCTGAGAGTGGGGAAAGCTGTTGGGGGTACCCTGGGGCTGAGTGTGGTTGACTCTCATGGGGATGTGAAGCACCCCCCACCTGCCTTCTGGCATGCCCAGGCCTTCTCTCACCTTTGGGTGTTTATAATCCCGGTCCTTACTCCCATCTGTGGCTGCCCTGAGCTCCATTCCGGGCCCCTGCCCACCTCACCTTAGGCAGATGCTCCCTTAAAGCCACCCCTGGTGCCAGGGTAGCCATCCCTGGCCCCCTGACTGGGGGGACAGTGATGTTTTTGCAATGACACTGCACCCACATCAACCCACAAGTTTATTTTATTGTCCTGACAAACTTTGCTTCCCAGCGGCTCCGATCCTTCCACGTGCATGCACCATGGCTCAGGCCGAGCTCCGGCCCACGCCTCCATCGTCATTCATTTCTTGCCAGCAAGAAAACAAAGAGATAATAAATAGGAAGCTTATTTGCAGGGAGAGCCCAGGGGACAGCCTGGGGTCACGGGCCAGGCTGTGCCTGGCCCCGGCCGGGACTGGCAGGGGGGCTGCAGGCAGGACAGCCCAGCCCCGGGCCATGCACACTGTGGGGCTGGGGCACTGTGGGGTCTGGGGAATATAGCAATCTCTATTTAATTACATTAAAATAGACTATTTAAAAAAATTATTTCTAGTAGTTAAAAAAGTGTCATGGTCCATCCCATTCCGGCAGAGTCATGGAGCTGCCCCAGACATTTGGGGACACACTGACGAGTGAAGGGATGGACCCCAGTCTGCTTCACCCTGGGCAGGTCTGTCTGGGGGATGGTCTGTCACAGCGGGTTCCAGGGGTGGGTGCTGGCAGGGTGGCCACCGTGGGTGACAAAGCAGGGCACTGTGCCACCTGCTAGCCCCACAGTCACCACAGACCAAAGGCAGGGGAGTGGGTGCCCCCCCAGACCCCATGGCAGGGCCAGTCCTGGGGCCTTAAATGACATGGCAGCAGTTGAACTGCCCCAGTGATAGGAGGCTCTCCTTGGAGCCTGGCCGGAGTTTGAAGGCCAGGGCTTTCTCGCAGAGTGGGAACTGCAGGAGCCTGTCCCGCAGGCTGCCCCCCTTGCTCTTGCCCGGGTCCAGTTTGATCACACTTTCTGTGCCCCCTTCAGGGCCTGAGCTCTCCACTGACTGCTGGGCTGTCTGTTCCTCCTGCCTTGGGGACGTGTCTGCAGAACTTGAGAGGGGGGCAGGAGTTGTCTGTGCCCCCAATACCTGGGAAACTCCAGCCGCGCTGCTCTGGGGTGACAGGATGGCTCCCCTGTCCTTGGAGAACTCTGCTGAGGAGACCTCAGGCTCTACGTCCTCCTCCCTCCTTGGGGGCTCAGCTCCATTTCCCCGCAGCACTGGGGGAGCCCGGCCCCCACTCACTCCCTTCCCAGCCCAGGCCACCCCCGAGCGCCCGCCCCGGCCCCCCA